ACTAGATGACCTCTAGGGGTCCTTTCCAAACCAAAACTTTCTATGATTTTTATAATTTCTATGTAGCAATTCCAGTCCTTCCAGGAGGGAAAGTGGATGCTGACTGCCTATCAAAGTTGGGCTTTTTAAATCAGCTACACGTGTATGGTCAGTGAGTTCTAGAACGGACAATGGTGTGGTGAAGATGTGAATGTCATTGCAAGGCAAATGGTTTAGATAGCCCCATCAAAGAGCACTGAACAGATTCAACACTTGTGCTGCCTGAGGGGTGCCTGAGCTGCTAATGCACAACATGAGCCCATTGCCAAAGCAAGCTCAAGGTGGTCAGGAGGTGCTGCCTGGGTCCTGTGGCATAGCTTATGACATCTTCTAACATGTCCAGGTACAAGTTTGTGATTGCACATTTCAGTCCTTTGGATTCTTTCAAAATAGGAAGAACAGAATTTACTCTCTCTGCATTACTATGACGACACATCCTTCTTTTTGTTGACTCCCTTTGCTGCACGTGACTTTTGGCTTACTTTCTAAAACTATTCCAGAGTTAAACAAAGATGAAGAACCTGAGTCAGCTGCAATCACACAAGATTTAGTGTGAATATACTCAGTCTGCTTTTTCGTGATCAAAATCAAGTTGGTGATGCATATGGTTCTTAACAAAAATCCAGTTACATTAGCGGTGTTTATAATTGCTGCTACTGATTTTTTTGGTGAAGTATATTTAAAATAAATAACAAACTCCCAGGTGAACTCTTTCATGCATACTGAACTAGCAGCATTTTGTTTTGCTTAGCCAGCTTGTTGTCAGACATCAAAGGCACATGCATAGATGCAGGAAATCAAACATACAGGCATAGTCCATACAGAAATCCCACTTATTTCATAGTATCCACCAGCACTGTTCCTAGAACCCTCACCTAGGTTACTGTAATTGAATGTCTAGTTGGGAGAGGACAGAACTTCAAACTTGTAGTGGGGATAATGAAATATAGCAAGAATTGGTTGTCAGGTATGGGGAATTGTATTGAGAAGGCTATTTTAGCAGAATTTTGGAACAGTTTGTGTATGAGTCTTGCTGGCAAAAGCACTTGGCTTTGTGATCAACTGCAGGAAGGAAAAAATTTTTCATCCCACTGAATGTTTAATTTAGTGTCCAGGCCGTTTATGTGGCTGTGCTATATTGAGACTTGAGACAAAGTAACAACCAGGTCACCTGGCTCCTAGGTGAGGACACTAATCACTGAGCTAGTGGTTGCTTTGGACTAAAGGAGGTCTTTGTGGACATAAAGTGTGATTTCCTATTTTCCCTGAAAAAATACAATAATTTTGTAATACATTTGTATATAAATAATATGTACATGTTTCTGAAAGATACTGGTTTCATCCTGATGTGAAACAGGTTAGTGTCCCACAGGATGGAAAACAAACTGTGAATAATGCTTAGTGACAAACCTATTTCTGTTATTTTCCCTTGTTTGCCTACTGTATGCAGGTAGATTTGGGCAGAATCCATCAGCAAGGTGATGCCCACACTGAGCTTGGCACTTCCACTCCACCCAAGAAATTTGTAGCCAAAAAGAGGGGAGGAAGATGCATTAACAGAAATCAAAGCTAACGAAATACTGAGGAAAGGAAGCCAGGTTAGAGGAACAAGGACATACAGTCTCCTGCATCTGTTGAGAAGGAGGGGCGGCCGCGTGGCGCTTTTGTTGCCGGCGGCAGCTGAAACCAAAAGAATTTGGGAATTTGTTCCTTGTGAGTGTCCTAAACAAATTTGATTTAGGAAACTCAGAGCAGACTAGGGGTGAGGTTTTTGCCCATACTAAGGAAAGCTGCCATTCAAAAACATGTGAAAACACTATGAGGCTAAATAATTCTGAGAAAATATCCTTAGAGAACTTTGTATGGAGTCCTGGAAGGCCCCCTCAATGTATGGTCACCTTGAGGAGGTGGAACATAGTCCTAAGACATATTAGGTATTCTGACATTTGTATTAAAACACTTTGCAGAATCCCTGTGAGCAATCTGTTCTTCCAGTGGCATCCTGACAATGTAGCTTCTTCTGGAACTGGGTCATTATAGACATGAAAAAGTATAGTGTTTTTTTTCTCCCCTGTAATACCCTGCATTTCTGTTCTGCAGTTCACGTAATTTGGACTCTTTCACTGTCAGTTTGGCAGGCTGATAGGCTTTGATATTTTAATGTACTGTGTTTATACCGTTACAAACTTCACACAAAATGGTGACATTTTAATGTCACTAGAAATATTTAAAACAATTTGAATTGTTTTCAGTGATATAAAAATGTTGTGAGTTTTTTTAATCTGATATTTATTGATTAGAAGGTTTATCAAATGATGACAAATAACTGTGCAATCTGAAAACCTGTGTTGCTAAGGAATCCTCTACACAGAATGTCCATTTCCTTAAAATTAGAGAAGTTGCAATACATCCTTTTAAATGAAAACTGAAAGTCTTTGTTCTTTCTGAATGAATCTTTTTCAAAACAGTGTATTTCATAAATGTCTTTGAAGTTGTTTTTCATTTCTTTCTAGTCACAAAATGACTCTGTGTATAATATGAGTCACGCAAAACGGTTACCGGAGTTACCACCCCTACCTGCTTCTGCTTCAGCTGCACCTTCAGAGTTGTATGAGGTATATATGCTCTCTCCCCTTGTGTCAGAATATGCCTTAAATTACATGTGCTAGCATGATTTTAGGCATCATATATTACCATAGGCTGATGAAGTAAAGATAGGAAAAACTATTTAAACTATTAAGTACTAAGCAGATTGTCATGTACTTTATTAGAGCTGCTCTTATTTAGAAAAGTGTTGTTACACCTTCTGTTAGATTTGGATATTAAACCTTGGCAGTTTAAATCTGTTCTTTAAATTTATAGTTAATTATGTGCTGTTAAATTTTGGATTATGTATTTTGAGTTTAAGTTTCTGGGGAAGGAAGCAAATAGGAAAAATATTTTTCTTCCAAACAGTGATTTCTTCCCCTCCCAGTCATTTATGGCAGAGCTCAAAAGTCCCAGGGTTAGACTGCTGTTCCAAATCCAGCTGAGAGCTTGACAGGTGCAGCACTGATCAGAGTGGATAGCTTGCACAACTGCACAACTACAGCTTCTGCTGTGTGACGCAAATAAAAATTGTGTATGACAACTCTTAAGGGGAGAAAGGAGAGAGAGCTGGCTTTCCCCACTGTAAGTGCCTCACAGTTGTTCGTTTGGCTCGTTTGCATCAGCACTTCAGTTCATCTAAGATGTCTTTCTTTAGAAAGATACTGTTTGTGAAGAAAATTAAGTAGTTCCTGATGGAAAATGGATTACTTTGGACTTTGTTTGAAAATAGGAAATTTTAAGTGAAACAAATACTCTAAAATAATGATAAAAAAGTGAAAATTATTAAATGAAGATTTACATAAAAAACTTTCATTTTCATCCAAAAGTCAGTTGGACTGCTGGGGATGTGTTAAGGGTTTATATGAGACATGGGAGCTGATTTAGCCAGCCTTGAAATTTTTGTGTTGCATAAGCAGTAGATTTTTGGCAGGTGACTTTCTTCTTCTCCAGATATGGCTGTTCCCCTCTGACCAACTTTTTGCCCAAGGGGTGCCCATGAGTATCACGATTAGCAGCGCACCTGCTCTGCACCCAGAAAGTTATTCTACCTAGTGTGGAAGAAAGAACATAATTTACAAAGCGGGCCTGATTAAGAGAGGAGATGAGAATTCAGACTTTATGCTAACTTCAACAGTTCCTAAAGATACACAGTGACTTTCTGGGGAAAATCTCCAAATCTCTGAATTATTTTTAATTCTTGTATCAGTTCATCTCCCAGAACTGTAATTCAGGGACACACCCACCTGTCTAGCATGTGCAGTGGGAGAAATTGAACTGAAAAGATTGTATGAACTTTCAGAAGCTAATTTAGGGAGTATGATTGCAGCAGTAGTGTGAACGCATTTTTCTTTGCTGATAAGATTAGCCCTGTTAGTCAGAAGAAAAATGCAAGACAGATGTAGTAATCTTGCCTTAGCCTGTGCTGCAGATTGCCAAACTGTATTGTTGTTCTCAGTAAAGCCTGTGATAGACAAAAAATAATCCATAGCTGCACGTATAGGTTAAATGAAAAGAACCTGTCTTATGCTTTAGTGTGTTGTTGTCTCAGAGGTCATAAAATGCTGAGAAGACGAGTTTAACTGCAGCTCCTAGGAGAAAGGCAAGACAAATGAGGGAACCAGAGATGGGATGTCATGAACATATTTAAAAGCCTTTTTTTTAAGAATGATCTAAAACTGATGATGGTAATGTTGTAAGAATTGTAATTGCAAAGAAGAGGAAGTGGTAATATGTTTGTGTGAGTCTAGGGAAGTAAAAAAATCATTAAAGAAGATGTAATACAGAAACAAGCTAAATATTAATTTAGACTAACAGCTTTAGGAGCCATGGTATGAAGTACATTCATGATTCTATCTTATGTACTTTTTCTCTCTGAGGACATCTTGATCAGAAACATACTTCTCAATCCCACATGACTTATGCCTGTGAGCTATCTCATTAAAGTTTAGACATCAGGACTGATGACAAGCCAATCAATAGATACCGTCACCTGAGAAGACATGGAATGAGCAGACGGAAGAAATCTATTACAAAAGCTGCACTGATGTGGGAGAGGGAGAAAGATGAGACCTTCAATTTTTAAACTTGCATTATTGTTCACCTATTGCAAGGGTTGAGTGTTAAAAGTAGACAGGCCATTAACAAAGGCTTGAGGAATAAAAATTTTCTAAATTTAAGCAAATGTAAGAAGAAAAGAAGCAAGATGAAGATGTGGGAGAGTAGAAAGTACTAGATAATGTACTAACGCCTTCTCTTATTTATAAAAAAGACCTTGATTATGGAAAAAACACATCAGTACTTGTACTGAAGCATTCTGTAAAATTATTCTCATAGATGTGTGGAACATCAGAGTCATTTGACCACCAATCTATTTTTAGATCCTAAGTCAGACTTACGTATTTGCTCTTTGCACTAATTGATCTTTTACCCTGTTGTAGCTCTAAGAAGACTCTTTAATTACTGTGCTGTGTAAAACTATTGCTTTTTTTTTCCAATTTCAGCTTGTCCTTAAGAGCAGCTGTTATCCTTCTTTGATGCAACGAGCATCATGGACTTTGGCAGCTCCATTCAAAGAAGAGAGCTACTACCGAAGCCCAAGTGACTCCATAGCTAATAATTATACTCTTACTGCACGGGATTCGTGTATCCATATTTGAATGTGTTTATAAGTTTAGCCTTGCTTGTTCTATGCATTTTTATCTCTAATTGCTTATTTATTAAAGCATCATCCCTAGAAAAATCACTTACCCCTAATAAATGCTTACAAGCTTGTCACCTCAGTGTCAGTATAGACAAATTTCCAAAAGCATGCATAATTTTAATAAAGGTAAGGCCAGTTTCTGATTAATTGGTTAGGTTCATCACTCCAAATAATCACATGCAATTATGTTGAGGGAATTGTTTACAAAGCAGAAAATGAACAAAATACAAGTTAGCTCTTATTATTGTTAGAAGTAAAAGTTAGTAGCAACAGGAAAACAGAAACAAATTCAATGTGCACCCCTGTTCTGCTCATATCCATGAATCTTGCATAGCAAAGCAAGATGGGAGACAGGCATTAAAATGTTTACCTGAGGATCAATTCCAATAAATATTGATTAATACACTCTTTATGTCTAAACTATGTGATTGATAACTGTGCATACGTATGTAAATCCTACAATATGAGATATGCTGTCGATTCAACGTGACATTGTGGTATAAAGCAAATAAGGTTGAGTTGTAATGCTCTTGCTATTTAAGTTTACCAATATGTATATACAAAATATTTTATGAAAACAAGTCGTTTAGGCTTTAAGTATCTTACCAGTTCCAGATGTCAAATTAACTCCATTACCTAGTCTGAAATTTCTGACGTTATTAATGAGCTTTATTTCTTAATTATCTAGTTAAATGTCCTCTGTATCAAGGGACGTTTAACTAGATAATCCATAGTTTTCTACATACTGTCAGTCTGTCTGTGAATATACTCATCCTGCTTTGTTGCTTTGCTTCCCTGAAGTGTTAGAAATTCATTTCCCTGGGATAGACAAGACATAATGGCTTCAATATCTGCTTAATCCCCTTTTACGCTGTTTAAAAAGGGTTTGGTTTTGTTCATTGGGTCTCTCTAACAGTTTATCACACACCTGATTCTTCTACTCCGTATACTTCTCCAGTACGTTTGTGGGATGTGGGAAGCAGGTCGTTGTACTTTTCTTGGTGAAAAAGCATGATGTATTAATTTTGTTAAAAGGTTTGTTTATTGGTACTCTGAAAAGCACATGGTAATAGTTCGTACTTCTCACATTTTTGATGTGCAGTATATTTGGTGGAACTGTAAGTCTTAGAGGTGCTTTTATATTCGAAACAGAAAGTCCTAGTGCAGAAAATATGGTTTGTGCAGGGTAGTTACGTAACACTGAAGTCTTCAGCATGAGCTGAATGCTTTCCTGAAACTCATTTATAGTCCCAGAATCAGCAAGATTATTCAACACATGATTTTAATGTCTTGCTAAATGCAAAGTCGAAACTAAAGTCTTCTTTGTGAAATTGTAATTTTCTGTTATTTCATTATCTGATTAATTGAATTAGCTCTGTTTTTCACCAATCTGAAATAATATCTTATTTGAAAAATAATTGGGTAAGTGATTTTCTTAACTGGTGCTTAAAGCTTTAAAAGAATTTGATCCTTCTAGGAAAAAGCTCAAACTTGCACAAAGAAGTCAATGGAATTCTGATAGGTAATGTACTATAGTATTATAAAGATACAGATTATTATAATCAGTCTAGATATCTGAGTTGTGATTTAATATTTCTTTTTACTTGGATGCTATGTTAAGCATCCAAGCGTGAAATGTTTAGTCTCTTTTAAAAAAAAAATATGTGCATCAAGACTGAAATTTCATGGTGTGCTAAGCTAGAGCACCTTTAACTGCTTCTTTGTGGCAGGACAAATTTCAGTCCTAGGCATGCTGGAGGAAGGATCTTCCTTTTGTGATTACTGACTTGAGAACCCAGAGTTTAGTTAACAGAAGTGCAGAATAGAGAACTGAAGTATCTTAGTTTTGCTGTGAGTGTTCAAATGCTCTATAATGCTGCTAGAGTTGTGCTGAATTTTTCTCTTGTTTGTTCTTATGTTCTGCATCTGTAAACCAGGGAAATAGTTTCCAGCCTCTCTGGAAGGGCTATGATGGTAACTTTCTTACCTTTTCCTTGTTAAGATAACATGGTGGTGAGTACCACAAAAAAAGACAAAAAATGATATTTAAATTCTCTTCAACTGAAGACTTGATAATGTGAAGTAAATTTAGTACGGAGAGGCAGCTTACAGACTGGGTATTGTTCATCCTGAGCAGTGTGAATGAAGGCCCTACAGAAAACAGCATATAATCATGAAAAAGAAGTCTGTAGTGTAACATTTGTGCATATGAGACAATTTAAACTTTTGCCTCAGGTTGTTAAGATTTTGGCAAGATAATCACCTGAAAATAGGTGGAGATCTGGGGCAGCCTAAATAATAGTGCTAGTAGGTCTGGCTCTAATAGAATTGCTTATAAGATGCTGCCTGTCTGAGGGATATCATACAGTTGTAAGGTTTACATGATTGTATTCTTTCTGTTAAAGTAGTATGCTATGTTATACAATTTTACTGAGGTTTTTTTATGAGTGACTGAAATACTTCATAGGCCATACTTGTCCTCAGTGCAGTGTAAGTGGTTTATATAATGTTTGTCATTTGTCCGTATTGATTTAAGAATTCATTACTGCTTCTTTATACACTAAACTTGTATTCTTTTTTTTTCCAGAAGTACACCAACATTGTTAAACAGTTTGGATCCCATTTCACTGTGTGCACCTGCTCATATGCCAGAATTACATGTACATTATGCAGATAACCAGCCATTGACCCCAGAAGAACAATTTGTTGTTATGCATTTATATGAGAAGGAGATAAGTAAGCGAGAAAAGCCACCTTCAAGAAATGATATAGAGGTATTTATATAATTTCTTTTTAAAATAAAAGTAGCAGCACTTACCATCTGCAATGTATGTCTGTAAACTGTTTACTTAACAGTTTACTTTGAGAAAAGAAGGCAGTACGTGAAGTTTAGAAGATGCAAATATTCAATATAGGAAACTGCTTTTAAACATTGTCAACTCCTTTCCCATTTGTTTCTAGTTACCTGGTCTGATTTTTTTTTTCTAATGGGTTTGCAAGTAGAATTATCTTCCCAAATTCTTAACCTCTCGCATTGTTGGCTAGTGCTTCAGAGATCAGTAATTTAATATGCTGCACTCAGTTCTATTGGTGTATATGCTTACATCAAAACAAATGAAAGTATTCCAAAAGTGTCAGGCATTGGGAGTGCTTTAAAAAGAGCCAAGAGATAGATGGCCAAAATCCGTTATATTCAAACACCTTTCGATTGCTGAAAAGGTTCAAGTGATAGAAAAGCTAGAAATAGTTTGTAGTAATTCATTATCTGTCAGAAAATTCATACAATAATCATAATATTTTCAACATTATTTTTTAGCGGTACTGTTACTACATACATAATGGAGTGCAGGAAGACATGCTGGCACCTCAAGATAAGGAATTGATGAACGCAATTTTAAAGCATATTCCATCTCACATTCTTGCTAACCCAGACCTGGAAAATTTACTTGCAAGCTTAAAAGAAGAGATTAAGGAGGACTATCGTATCAGCCTCATGAAAGCCATTGGTAAGACTCAAAATCTCTTAGTAATTCAGAGTATGTAGATATTTATTGCACTTTGAAAGCAAGTCTGCATTCTATTCTTGGCACCCATGGAGAATTCCTTTGGGGTCAGTAGAACTGCAATAGATACCTGAGAGAATATAATCTGTGATCATGCTACTTCATGCTACTTAGCATTCCAGTTTCAACAAATACCTATTTACTAAGCCCTACGTTCTGTCACTTAAATATAGTAATTTCCAAGTTCAGTAGTTCTGGATGCATAGAGTAATTTTGTCCATACTTCTACAGTTTCCCATTGCTAATTCAAATCCAAATCACGTTCAAAATGCATACTTCTGCATCATCTCATCAGATATATAAAAAGGGGATTGATAAAATGATAGTGGACAAGTACTAATCATCTTAATTTTTAGCAAAAGAAATTAGATGAGAAATTAAAAAGACATTGTTACTATAAAGATCGTGAAGGACTGCAGCAGATTATTGATTGATGGAGGCTTTGAAGTGCATGATAGACAAGTATTTGTCAACAGCAGTCAAAGTATATTTGATATTGATGTGGGGAAAGGGTAAACTAGGCTATTTTAACAGACACTTCCCAGGCTAACATTTTTGTTATTCTGCACTAAGTGAGTGATACCCATTAACAGCCAAATTCACCTGTCTCATAACTCCAGTGAAGTCAGATGTTACACTGGGGTCATGTCACAAGTTCAGAGAATTTCATTTAAGACATTACAGAATTAAGGAAAATTAGGTGATACATTAATGTGCATGGTTACGCTGCTCATGTTCAACAAATAGAAGATCACCATGAAAACATTAATACAAAAGAATGCCATAATCCTTCAAATTCAGTAATGCCCATCTGAATGTGAATGTGAAAGAGACAGTTCTGTAGAACATGAGATTTTTTAATTTGCTTTCCAGTAGTGTTACAGTTTTCTTGGGTTTTCACATGTGAAATGATTCCTTTCAATATTCTGAAATATATTGACCAGTAAGTAGATGTGGCCTCTCATTCATGACAGCATAAAAAGGAGAGATGGAACAGTTTTTGCTCTGCCTTCTATAGTCTCTGATATCTGTCAAAGTACCCTTTAATTGGCCTTTTATCAATGTCACAATTTTAGTGTTTGCGGTTCCTTTTTGTGGTAATGCTAATGTCAACAAGTGGTAGTGAGTCTGCATCCCAGCTTTTGTTAATCTTGTATGTAATGGGCCATTGGTCAGAACTGGTAGCACACGAGTTTTGGTATTTAGCAGATCATAGATCAGCCCTTTGAATGTCCTGTCCTTCCTAGATGCAACAGATGATTCATAACATTGCTGTGTTTTACATTTAAGAAGCCTTCTAAAAATCATCCTTGAAAGGGAGATACTTCCACCCCTGGTCTATGGATGAGGAATTGAAGCACGAAATAGATACGCTTCAACTGGAAAGACAGAACGAGAAGCTATTTCTCCTGCCTCCCATTTTTAGAACCAGGAGCAATTCTTGTTTTCTGTTTCTGAAATAATTTTAGAGTCAAATTGGTAATTTGATTGTTGTGCTGTGTTTCATCCTAAAAACATGCAAGCAACTATATGACAGTGTATGAGTTCTAAATGTGCAGTACTCTATGACTTCCTAAACTATGGAGATACTGTGTTTTCACATGTAGATTTTGACCATACATGCAGTCTCACCATGATATATATGATTTATTCTAGTTGATTATGTCTTGATGGATCCAGCTGAGAGAGAGAGACTGTTTATTGGAAGTACCCCATGCCCTTTTCCCCAGAGAGTTGTTCGTGCACCAGTCCCATGGCACACCTCTTACCAAGAAGTGAAAAGCTGGAATGAGAGGAATCTATTCATAGTGAATCCGTTGATGCCCACTTTGCAACAGCTCTGGCTTTCTCAGTAAGCTATCTTGTTCATAGGATCTTAATTAAATTCAGAATGTTTTAACTTTATGGCTTGGTTAGAGCGTGCCACTGCTGACTTCTGTACATATGCTACGGGAGTCCTGGGGGAGTCAGTAGAGAGAAAATGGCAAAATCTCTTCTGTTTTCTAAAAAAATTTCTTTTCTGAGCATGTAGGAATTTCAACATAAAATGATTGCTTCCTGCAGACTCTGAATGCAAACATGAACATGTTTTACATGTCCACGGTGAAGAATAGATAACTTCGTGCTATGAAAAGATCATCCCCTTTGTTAAAAGATGTTACCCCTAAATTAAGATTCAGTGCTCAAATAAATAGTGTTTTGGAATTCTCATCTTGATTCCCAAAATTAACAAAATTAACTCTTAAAATTGAGTCTCTTTCAAATGTCTGTAGTTGGAAATTGTTCTGGGGACTTTCGAAAATTGAGATATGTTTTCTTATGAAGTTAAATATGGAGGTTAGTAATCCCAAGAACTGTTTTTGCATTTAAGTACCTTTTTCAGGAATTTAAGCTCTTGCATGTGTCAGACTGTGATATATGCCTTGCTGATAAAATTTTATTTTGTTCCCCAAGTTAGCCACGATAGGTACTTATTACTGTTAATATGGAGTAGAGGCAGTAATTGTCATTCTGTATGTTCTTCAATGCCTGGATATACTAGTGAATCTAGCAAAAAGTCAAGCAATTATTCTGACCATTTTAGCAAAGAATTAACACAATTTAAAATGGAACAAGGAAATTTTTGAAGCCTTTTATGTTTGCCAATAGCAAAAAACCCTGTTAGAAGTGCACTTGTTGGACAGCTTAGCAATGAAATGGTATGCATCAATAAAATCATATTGTTAGTGTTTATAAGTACATATGAGACCCTCCTGACTATATTTCATGTTGGCTTTCTTTTAAACAGAATTCCATCAAATATCTACTCTTTGTTTTACTTCCATAGGTATAGTCATCTAAGGTTTGTTCGCACAAAAGAAGTGCTTTGTAGAGACCTGCCACTGTTGCCTACTGAAATTGAGGAGGTCATTCGAAGTCACTGTGCGGAAGCTCGCAGTATTCTTCAGAACAAGTTAGTGCCATCTGTAGTAACAGTAGATAGTGTATCTTAGGGTCTGATTTACATGAAGCTCCCTTTTTAAAACATATCTTAGACTGAAATGACACTAGTCCCAACTACAAGGCTGTCAAAACAAAGGGGAGATTAGTGGAGAGGGATAAACATCTGGATGCTGAAAGAGCCATTGAAACTACAAAAGCGCTTGCACAAGAACAAGTGAGAATAAGCTGACTATGAAGTGTAGACTGGAAATTAGAAGGTTTCTAACCATGAGAGGAGTGGAGTCTAAATCTATAAAAATGGTAACAGAAAACCTAACATTTTAAACTATGGAAATTGATGATTTTAAGAAAGATATTGTGTGAGGTGGTAGCCCACGATATTAGGTGACTGCATTCTACCACCTGAGATCTCTGATGGACTCAAGTTTCCCGGCTAATGCTAATAGTTTAGTATTATCACTAGCATTCTGTCTATTAATATTCATTTGAACTACGGGTAGGGACCTATTATAAAAAGAATCCTTAGCTTAAAAACTCAAGTTTCCTCTGAGTCCTGGTAGGTACAGTTTTGTCTGACATCTGATTAACAATTCTCTCCTAGCCCTTTGAATTTTGCTCATTCTTTGGGTTGCTTCTGAGCTTAGATTTCATTGCAAGGAGCAAAGTAAGACTAATAAGGCTTTAAAAACTATATCTCCATATTATTTCATTGTAGATGGATCCCAACTTGTGCATCTATTTTCTTTGATCAAAAAAGGAAATGGCTTCATTTTGCTCCTGAAAATGATTGTGGTTCCTCTCAGCAAGTTGAAAGCTATTTTCATTCAGTGGCGGCTCTAATGTCATTACAATTACGTGAGATGGTTGTTAACTCCTTAGAAGATCTTCTTGCATTTTTTATGATCCACGAGGTATATGCTGTGAAGTATATTTATAGTTTTCTGTGGTTTATTTATAGTTTTCATATAGCCATAAAATGTAATGCTTGTTGAAGGCTAAAATATCCCAGATAGCTCCTGCCTCCATAAAAAATGGCTGGATCCTTCAAACAGTTGTGCATAATGAGTAGAATTTTCTTTGCACGGTCAAGAACTACTCACTTGAATAATCATTTTGCAGGCCTAGGGTTACACCTAGCAGTTCATAGGAGTTTTCAACTCTGTCTTGAGTGAGTGAGCATTTTTAAATTTTACTTTTAGTTTTATTTTTTTGGGCCTTAACCAGGCAAAACACTTAAATGTGTTTTTCTGAAAGCATGTGAATAATTCCCGTTGAAGTCAGAAGTGTGCATAGTCATGCATGCAATGCTTTGCGGAGGTAATTTATGTATGTGGTGTGCCTGTCTATACCGAATGAGTGCCCTATAAATAACACTACACCATGAGAGTTTTTACCACTGTTTTGCCTATGATAAAGTTGCCTCTTAGTGTAAATGAGTTCTTTAAATATCAGATCACCCAAGAACTACCATGATAAGACAAAATGAAACATGTTTAAACGGAATAAATGTGGCAGATTAAATACTGCATTGCAGTCAGAGGAGCACACTTAATACAATATGCTGTCAAAATTACGGTAGGCGTTGCATGTAGGTGTTGGTGGTGTTGCTAATGGTTGAGGTTTTGTTTAGGCTTATTTTTGTCTTATTGGTTGGTTTGGGTTTGGGGTTTAGTTTGTTTGTGTTGTGTGTGTCTGTGTGTTTGTTTTAAATAATCATACCATCTACATTAGGAGTCTAGTCATGGATTAGGACTCCATAATGTAAAGGCAATTTGAGGGTAGGGCAGTTCTTACTAACCGTACAAAGCAATTAAAAAACCAGGATCTTGTATTTTTTTCTAGATTTTTTCTCATAGGCATTATGCATATTTTAGAGCTTTTGTTCTGTATGGTAATTAGTGCTTTACTTCTGTTACTTAAGGGAAAATCAAGGCAATTAGACTTAAATCCATGTAGCTAATTCCAGCTTTTATAGATTCATTTAGGAGATGGCACCTTAAAATCTCGTGTATTGAGGCATCAGTGTTTTGAATAAAAATCAGGGACAAAGATTCCATTGGTGCTGTGTAGTTAAGAGATTTGGGGGAGTTTGAATCTTTTGAAAATTATTATAGCTGATTTCTTTGACATGTACAATTTTCATTCTTTTCCCTAAGGGTGGAAGTGATTTTACAGAACCATATCAAGAAATGCAGTTCTTTGTACCTCAGATATTAACAGTCAAACTCAGTGTGGAAGAACCCAACATTGTTTTTGAGCCACCTTTGAAAGAATGTTGGGATTTAATCAGTCATTGCTTCAGGGAGATCCTGCAAAGTGCTGAGGAACTTCCAAAGGTACTGGATAAGTTATAACTGCATACAAAATACAATATTGTTGTAGCTTAACCTGGCAGCTCACTACTATGAATAAAAACTGTCTATGATATAAAAAATTATGCAGAAAACTGACAAACAGAAGATAAAGATGACCGTCGTGTATCAAGAACTGTGTGAACTTTTGTGATTGTAGAAGATAGCACTGGAATTGTCCTTTTGCAGAATCAATTTATATTAAAGCCCTGGTTTGATTTTCATATAGTTTTTGTGAGTAAACTATGTGTGTAACCAAGTGTTAATTACGAATGAGCCTTTTCATATTGCAGTGTTTTTATCAAATAACACATTTCTTTGAAGTGGCGGGTGATGGGTAATACAATGCCTTATTTCCTTTATTGTATGTGTTATTATAGTGTTTGCAATGGTTCCCTTTAGGTAGAAAGATTTCTATTTCCAGAATTAAAAAGAGATGATCTCACTCTCAGTACAGTCAAACCAGATGAGTTGCTGTTTTCAGAGTATGTGAACAAACTTGAACAGATCTTTGAGAGCAACATACTTGGTCCACAGAAGTAAGTTTTGGCTGTTAACTCCATTGCCCATCCAAACCCTCGTATTCATAACCCTATCCATTTGACTCAAACAAACAGTTTGAGTTGATTTGTTTCTTATTACAGAGAATCTTCACATTGGAATCTTATGTTTGTTTTTGTGATCTTCTGTGTTTAAGGTATTTAAACACGTACAGGAAATACAGCAATCTTTTGAACAACAATGCACAGCAAGATGTCACAGATTTCTTGAAAGAAGGTCATTCTCTGGAAGCTTTAACGGAGGTAATATGTAACTGACAACTGCTACGTGTTCATACAGCAGCTAACACATCGCGCTTGACTTCCTAATATATTGCCTAAAGAACTCCCATTCAAATCACATGTTTTAACCTTGGGAATACTAGGAAAGCCATCTCAATTTACATAGCCCCTTACTGTAGGGCTGCTGTGCAAATGTAGAAGGTTTCTTTATGGCCGCCTTCTATGGATTTTGTTGGGTCTTAGTAGAAGTCTGGCGGAAGGCTGCCCAGATTATTTGGTGAATCTGCATCTTGCTGGTCTTTTGACTGTCCTGTCCATAGTCAGCCCTGTCTACTTTTCTGTCTGCATTCCTGACTTAGCCTCTGCCTGAATACTTTAGGCATCTTGTGGTGTTCCTTAATATGGGGTATTACTGTGCAAAGCTTTCAGCCCTGGAATCTGTGGATAGGAGCTGAGCTCTGGAAAGAGAAAAAATAGTTATTCCTTCTTGTATTTGGAATATGTGATCCATTTGCTGCATGGGAAGTAATTAGTTGTTGTTTGGCCTTTTTAATCTATAGACTTTAAGGAAAAATAACAGATGTATTATTTTCCATTTGTAGAAGATTGACAGCTTAACAAAACTGAAAAGAGAGATTGCTTCCATGCATGTCACTGTCCCCCTGGCCATGTTCTGTCTGGATGCTGGACAACTGAATGAGGAACTCTGCAATCGGACCCAGCATCTTAAAGACAGATTGATTGAATTTGAAGTGATGGAAAACAGAGAGTTAAATAAAAGGTACGTGTCATTAGCATGCACGGTTCTTGCTGTCTGGATGGACTGATGCTGTATGTATGTGGATGAGATAACTTTATTCATCTCCTGGTTTTTCAGTGCTGACCAGACATGTACAAGGACACCAAAGTGGGTATTTAAAATTAACAGGAACAGAAATACTTCTAAATAAATATCTTACTTAGTTTGTATAGGGTGTACATAGAGATTAGACTGGAAATACACCATTGTTCTTTCCTCCTTTACTGATCTCCCAGGATTGGGGTTGAGGTCCTTGCTTTGCCTGCTAGTGTCCAGCTAAAGCAACATGAAGAAAGTACAATACAGCTCTGCATTTGTCTTGTCCCTCACTTTTTTTGCCTTTTTTTTTTCCTAGAGAAGTAATGGTCCTGATTTCATATCTTGGCACGTTTAAAGGAAAAAAAAAAAAAGAGAAAAAAGGACCCTGAAAATTTAATTTGACTTCAGTATAATGGGATAATCCTGGTTCTGTGAATTAAAAACACCCCCACCCCACTCCCAGCAAACACCAAAAATCCCCAACAAAAGAACCTGCCCTGACAATTAAAGAATACTTTCACAGTGAATGGAGAGAGACAATCACCGTAAAGAAATGATTCAACCCACTTATCTAAAAAACATCTCCAGGTGGAGATGAACCACAGTCTAGAGAGGCCTCTTTGCCTCCACTTACTGTGGAGGGGATCTAAGCCATGAGATTATGCTGAACACCTAACATTTGGAAGGCTTGAGTTGGTTTAAATGAACCTGTCCTCTGTGTATGGTTTCTGTTTGCATGCCTGCTGTCTGTATAGCTATTTGCAGTACTGAACTGGAATCTGGAACAAGAAAATATGTCACTGTGAAGAAGGAAAATAACAGGATTTTTTTCCTTTCTGTATTTTCTGTTCCCACGTACAATATAAAATAAATTTAATTGTTTATTAATTTTTCTCTTTATAACTTTATTTCATACCATGTACTTCATTTTGTATTTGTGGGGTGATTAAGTAAGCTCTTGCTTACCGCATTCAAACACTTCTTTCTGTAGTAGACTGGATCTTGGAAAGCAAATTCTAAACCCATACAAAGGAAACTGTTTATATACTGCTAATTGTAATTTGTAACCAATTTAGCAATCATTCTATTATATATCAATTCTTGTAAACATAGTAGGGCAAGATAACTGATAGTAGAGTAAAATGACATCCTTAATAAATGCCTGTCTACTGTGTGTATTCAATCTGAATACTTTATGAAGAAATTTAGTGTTCTTGCTTAAAACATCTTGCATCTCCTTTCACTTATCATCCCAGTGATATGTCTGTTTTCTTTTGTTGTAGAATCTGCAATGAATATAACTTCATTGCAAAGAGATTAAGTGAAGTGCCTCTGAACACAGAAGAGCTAGTGGAATTTGATGCATACTTAAAGAAATCCAGTGAAGTTACTGCTTTTAAAATGAGACGGGAGGTCTTTGAAGCAGCACACAGACTGGAATTCCTCATGGACTATGCTGATCTTTCCTGTATGTCTCAATTACAAAACACGAAAGTCTCCATATGAATATATTTATACATAGATATTGGGCTCTGCATGGATAAATGTTCCATCTTCTAGAATGCTAATCGAAAGCTCCAACAGAGACAAAAAGGGAATAAAAATAATTTACTAGAGGCCAAAATGTACCAGTGCAGGAAGGAATGGTTAGAGAAAATGGCATATGGCTCAGACAGTGCTTTTTTCTGTGTTTTAGAAAATGTCTTAGGCATTATCAGATTAATGTCATGTAATCTGGCCAAATGATGTTACACCTCTATGTGTAACATCATTTTTTCAATAACATTTATTTTTTCAATAAAAAGTCTTCAGTGAAAAACCATCTAAAAATCAATGTCTGGAAGGCTCACTGACAGCTTTTCGAAAGTGTGAGAACTTGCATCTCTGCAGTTGAGTATTAGATCAGTGGAAGCTTTTTGTCATTTTGCTGTTCTTAATTAATATAAAGGCTGTTCTCCAAGATGGAAGAAACATCTGTAGAAGTTGCTTTTAGCTTGCATTCTGTTCAAAGCACAAATGTGTCATTCACAGATGCTGCATGTTATTTGCCATACTTAAAAAACAAAGAGCAGTTATAAGAATGCATACCCATTTTAGTGGCAGGATGATCCTTTCTCCTTAAACAGAATAGACTCTCAGATTAGACAGCAATAGAAATAACTAGGCTATGCCATGTTTATTAGAATTTATTTCTGACATAAGTTAGGATGCCTGTGGAAACCAGGACTTTTTCTGTTATATTTTGGACTGAAGTGTTTGAATACGCATTATTTCATAATTACATATTCTTTGTAGGTGGGTTTATAAGCATGTGTCCTGCAGTTAGTTGTTATGATCTAAGTGCACTGAGCAAATGGACAAAGATGAAGATGGTGATGTCAGCTGATTGTAGTTATTATGCTCTGGCTTTTGTGAATAATTCAGCATTTATCCACTATAAAATGATTAAAATGATTTGAACTTTACTTTTACCTACCTTATGTAGGTATATTATATATATTTAGTTAGGAGTGGTCTGTCTCTGTGTGTAGTTGAACAGAATTGATATTCTGGAATAGCAGTTCTTACTGATTTTCTCTGCCTAGCTAAAGTCTTATTCAGAGAATTTCGCATTCTTAACTTGATTTTAGAGTTTTGCTATCCATCTAACTTGTTTTAGGGAACAGTTGTAGTGAAGCTAATTCAGCTAGCAGCTTGAAATATGCCGCTTCTTAGCCTATTTCTAAATGTAGTTTTAGCTATTTTGCTTACTCTTCACAACAGCCATTTTATTAGATTATTGGTTAAAAGATATTTTCTTAAAAATGTCTTTTATTTTAGATGATGACATAAACCTGAATAGCACAGTTTTCCATTGGCCTGATCAGATTGAGATAATCTTTCAAACCAGTAGAGATCAGTTGTGTAACAGGAGGAATCATGCAGAGATGGTTTTGCTTGAAAGGTATGGTGTTAAGACATTTTCTTCTCCTGGGTATTTTTAAAGAAAAGAAAAATCTCATTATCAGGAAAAAGGAGATAATGTCAAAGAAGTAAAACTTGGAAGGGTGATGAGAAAATAAGGAAGAAACCTGGAGATTTCAGAAAAATACTGTTGATGAGGGTGGATTAGAATATTCCTATGCTTAAATAGGTCTGAAAGGAGGAATGAAGGATGTTGCTAGAATAGTCATAATTTTATCTTGTTATATTGCTTAGTACAGCATTACACATATTTTTGTTACATTGTTTTCACTCTTCCTTTATTTCCAGGCAGTAAAGGTAGGAAATGTAAGTGAACTAAACCAATTGGGAGGTTTGAAAATGCACCTTGAATTCTAATCCTGTGAACTACATAGTATTGATACAACTGATTAATAGGTTTTCACTGGCATCCGTATTTACTTTACACTAGTATTGAGATCAGATTTCATTTGACAGTGCCTGTTATAATTAATAAAATAATTGAAACCTGTAAGGGAATGAAACAGAACATTGTATTACCTTAACTGTCTTTACCTCAGGTGTTCTCAGTTTGAGGAAACTCTTGAAGGTTATAATAGAGAAGTAGAAAGCTACAAAAAGCGGTATGTCATGACCATAGAAGAAATGAAGAACAACGCTGAGAAATTTAAAGAGTTAAATAAGAATCTAGATAATGCACTAACAGAATTTGAGGTTAGTATTTATTAGTCAAGTATGCAGTGGGTTGCAATGTACTGGATGAGCATAAGTTTGACTCCTGTCCTAGTTTTTTTTCAGGGTTCTGATCATATATTGTCAAGATGGCTTTGAAATTTCCAAATTCACAAACGTGGCAATTACCTTCTTGTCCCTGTATGGTGGATTGTCCCTATGCTGAGTTGAAGAGCGTATTTTTTTGGGGAAAAAAGTTTAGGGAGTTTTAAAAATTGTAATACTGAATTTCAGTGTTTCCAAGCAGTCAGTAGTAGCAGGATGCTGTCCACAGAAAACAGAATTCTTCTGACAGAGTTGGCAGGAGCAGAATGTTAGGGAGACGGCATTTTCCGTGAACAGTGGTTTGCGCTGCTGGAGCTGTGTTTTCAGTCCTTCTGCTTGTCCTTTAATTAAAAACAAGTATTTTTCAACTGTTTGCATAATTTCCAGAAGTTGCCTATAGGCATTAAATATGTATTATATCACAGAAAAGGAAGTTTCAGTTGCTAGAAGAAGACTGAAGACCAAGATTCCTAGATTCTATTCAGAGCTCTCCATCCAGTATACTGTGTGGTTCTAGGTTGAATAGTTTGTCTTAGCTGTGCCTGTGTTGGGAAATGAGAATGGTTACCTTTGAGACATCTCACAGGCTTTGTGAGGCTTAATAAATCTTCTAAATCACAGTGAGACAATGAGATTTCTGCATATATGGAGCCTTAAGAATCAAGATTTTAATTGTCCCGCTCAAAAAAGAAAATAGAACCAATTAAATGAGTTTAAGATTTATCTAAATTGCTAGTCCTATGTATCAACGCTCTTAACTTGATTTAAAGGTGTCTAGTATATGTTAATTAGTGTCGGTTAACAGCACTGATATGTTGTTATAGGTAGATCAGAATAAGTAATTAAGTTTCTTAATATGTGATCACAATGAAGGGTGTATCCACACAATTTAAATGATATGACAATCAGCTTAGTGAATGGATGAAGTTAAAAATTATCTTTGAATGTGGGTCTTTAAGTTTCTCTGCCTGCATCTTATGCTGAATGATTAAAAGCTTTATGAAAGGACTGTCAGCATTGTAAAAGCACAGAGTTGGGACTCAATCTGAATTCAGTGTCTGCATTTCAGACAGCATTTCTCTGTGCTTCACCTCCCTGCCTGTAAAATGAAGAAGGCAATAACTTTTTTTAATCTAAATCTTTACACATTGATTTATACTGCAAGGTCTTCTGGACAATTATCTTACCATGGATAAGCACACCAATTAATATCTGTTTTGGTTGGAGCTCCCCGATGTTTCTCCAATAGAAAAGAATAATCACAAGTAAAAAAAAAAATCCTATAAGCCTATGTGACTGAGGAGCTTACATCAGGGTTTCAAAGTGGGTTGGTAACTTGTGAGCCTTGGTTTCACTGAGTGCCATGGTGCATTATCTACATCTAAAATAGATACAGATTTTTAAAATTATTTGAGTAGTAAAAGATACCAACAAATAACTAGGGGAATTTTCAAGAACACAGTTACTTTATTTACCTAAAATCCACAGGCCTGAATCTACAAATCTGGTGGGCTTTCTGACATGTAAAAAAAAATTGTATTCAATATTACCCATTTAAAAGTTTAAACAACAATAGGACTTTTTGATGGAAATAAGATATTTTTTTTCCTTAAAGGCCATTAATAGAGAAGAGGAGTTACTTGAGCGGGAGAAGAGTCAATTTCCTCTACTGCAAACTGTAATTACAAACAAACAACCCTTTGAGCAACTTTGGATAACAGCATATAATTTCCATACCAAATCTGAGGAATGGATGAATGGTGAGGCTTTGGTGTTCTTTTGATGAACCAATTTTCAGTTAGTTAAGTAGAAGCTGAAAAGGTTGATTAGTTGTGAGAAAATAATTTTGAAGAAATAAATGCTGTTAAGCAGCATGAAACACAGTTGTTGACTTGGATTTTGCATTAAGATAATTTTTTATAACGCAATTCATTTCCAGTTAAAGGAGAACAATTATACATACCTGTAAATAAATCACGCTGGCAGTCTCCTTGTGCTGATGTGCCTGCTGTGCTTTTTTTAATACTCTTGTATTCAGGATGTCTCCAGAAGTTGAATGCTGATGAAATTACTGAAGAAACTGGAAATATGTGGAGAACTATGTACAAGCTCAGTAAGAGTTTTCCAGATTTGGCTGGGCCTAGACGCTTAGCAGAAACTATGAAATATAAGCTTGATAAATTCAAACAGCATCTGCCTGTTCTGTTAATTGCCTGCAATCCTGGAATGAAGGAGAGACACTGGGAGCAGGTACTTTAAACTCTGCTTTAACTGTGGGAGTATTCTACACAGAAACTGACAGTTCAATGTACTACTTCATATAGTCTATACTGTGAAATACAGTAAGAGTTCTGTATTTCACAATAAGAAGATCCTTTATCCCGTCACATGATAGATCCAGTTTTGAAGTTTGTAATGGTAAAGGCAGGGGCTTTTTTGAATTAATAATTTATGGTAGAAAAGTAAATTAGGGGGTTAATACTTCTTTAGCATTTATTTCTTGCTGGTTGAGAAATCTGTTACAAATATGCATCTTGACAATAGATTTTATTTCTTACTTTATTTTCAGATTAGTGAAATTGTAGGATGTGAGATCAGACCTGATGAAACTACTACTCTTAAAAACATATTGGAATTTGGACTCTCAAAATATATGGATCAGTAAGAAGCTTACTCTAGTCTCCTTTTTTTAGACAGTCACTCTATTTCGTGTCAGATACCAAATACTAGTTTGTTTGGGGTTTTAGTATGCTGTTGGACCCTGCTGTAAAATCAGCTGTATTTTATCAAGCTGTGGATGGAACTTTCAGTGGTTCTTGTAGCACAAAAGCACCAAAAACCAGAGTCGTATTCCTAAACTACTTAATTTTCACATTCAGAATTTTCTGTCTCTATTTATCTCCAAATTAATATTAATATATCTAACTTGGTGAGCCTGAAATTGCAAAAATATTCCCTGAAATAAAAGTCTGTGGTGGTATTAGCAAATCCACATGAAAAGTACTCTGATATGCAACTCTACCTACAACTGCTTTTTTTTTTTTAACGCTTCAGCTATGTTGCAAAACCATCTCAAAGATATGTTTCATTTCAATTTAGGCTGGAACCTATTGGAACAGCTGCAAGTAAGGAGTATTCCTTAGAGAAATCAATGGAGAAAATGAAATTAGAGTGGGTCAGCATGCAGTTCAGTCTGGTGAAATACAGGGATACTGTGAGTAAACACCAAATCAATATATATAGTGTTGGAAAGAATTACTTTGATTCTGAATACCAGTTGAGAAATATTAGAAGGAAGTTACTGCTGATTCATTGTGGCATGATGGAAAGTGCTATCATACCCCAGAGCCTGGGAAAACATCCCCATTACTATAGATCCTTTTATTTGGACCTTAGTATCTGGATAACTTGTAATCTCCACATATTCATCCTAAGAAATCTGTAAGCCTGAGAGCTTCTGCAGTGTTCTATGGAAAGCTGGACAGTAGTGCAATTTTGACCTGCCTGGAAGAAACAAGAAACCACATGCAGTCCAAGAGATTGAGTCAGAAGTCACTAGCATCCCTGGCTAGCTTCACATTCACGAACCAATCTTCTGACCTTTGAACCAAGGATGTCCCATGGAGATAGCATTTCATATCTTTGAAAGTGTTGCAGGCTTTCTCAGTGCCTTACTACTTTCTCACCTTCGACCATCATAGAAAAGGGGGGAAACAGGAAGCTGAATGATGTTGAAGAGTGGTGAAATAAAGCTACTGCTATTTGCCTTACCCAAATGTGATGTATTTACAGAACACCAGCATCCTGTCAGCAGTTGATGACATCCAGCTTTTGCTGGATGATCACATTGTTAAGACTCAGACAATGTGTGGCTCTTCCTTCATCAAACCAATAGAAGCTGAATGCCGGGTAAGAAAAAGCTGGTTTGATTGAGCTTGCGTGTCTCATAATATGCTTTCCCTAAGTGCTTTAAGGTATTTTGGCATGCTAAGAGGTTACATAGTTTTTAACTGTTTCGAAGAGCACACATTCATATTTTTCTTCAGGAGCTTTGAATTAATGGTTTCCAGAAAATAGTTTGCAAATCCTGCTTTACAGCTAAAGAATTTGTAATTGCATTGCTAATCTAGTCATTATAAGCATGGGTTTTCAGTTGAATGTCTTGGGAATGGGTCAGTTGATTTAAACAAATCATGCTGAATTGTGTAAAAAGACAGAGGTCTTTTTATGAGAATTTATTTTGTTAAAGATGATGAATTTCTAATAGGAAGATTATGCAGAAAGCAGAGACTTCTTTCCTATCAGTATTTTATAGCAGTTTATCTGTCCTAACAGTGACGATTTGTAAGCAATGCTGAGACCTAAATTCTATCCTTTCCTGTGGACTTTTTCCAAATCGTAGGTGAAGCCGAGTTCTGCTTTCCAGTAGAGCTGGTGAAATGAAAACAAACAATTAATATAGAACTATCTAAACAATCTCTATGTACTTCTTGCAGAGTAGTGAACAATACAGACTGTGTTTTCTCCTTGCAGTAGATTGCCTTGCGTATCCCTTACACTGTAGACTGTCAAAGTCACAAAAGCAATGCTATCTGAAATTCTTTATTCCCCAAAAATTGTCTCTCTGGTTTTAAAACTGATTTATACTGCTAGAGTTGCATGATGGAGCTTTTTTGGGGGGCGAAAAGATTGAACCCGCTGTATATACGACCTGTGAACTGACATTTACACAGTCTGCTGAATGTCTTGTTAAGCTACACGAGTAGAATTAAAAGAAGAGATTCTTGACTGGCATGCTAATCATCTCTGCACTTTTTACGCAGTTCTCCCACAACTTGCTGTAAAAAATGCTAGTGAAAGAATATATCTGTTGTTTATAAAAAACATTCAGATGTTTATTAGTGTTTGTTGGTTTTTTTTAAATATAGTTTCTCTCTCTTTCAAAATTGTTCACTGTGGGGATTTTTTTCTTCTTTTTTTCATTACAGGCTTGGGAAGCTAAACTGTGTTTAATTCAAGATATTCTAGATAGCTGGTTAAAGTGCCAGGCAACATGGTTGTATTTGGAACCAATTTTCAGTTCAGAAGACATTAGAGCTCAAATGCCTGAAGAGGGCAGAAAGTTTGGGGTTGTGGATACATACTGGAAGGACATTATGGCACAAGTGGTAAGTGCTTGCATTTAAGAAATTGTGTATTTTTATGCACATCTGGTAACATGATTATTACTATCATGAAGACATGAAAGGTAGAAAGCGGAATGACTTGTGCTTTCAGGATCTGCTTCAGAGTTCACTGACAATCTGTGGAAGGCCTTCTCTGGAAACAGTTAGATTTTGGATTAGGCTTTTAAGGCTTATGCGTTATTAGAGTGACTAAACGGCTTTTTTTTGCATATGATTGTTCTCTAGTATGTTGTGGCATGGTTATTCAGAGCTTTGGTGAATACGTGCTGAGTTGGTAGTGTGTCAGGATAACATAACGGGGGTAGCAAGTGCAATTGAGTATCCTGTTCAGTTCGCTATAACTAAGAAATTGCATAAGAGGCCAGATACTTTGTGATAGTGTGAGCTGAGATATTTGTCAAAAACCTTGGGAGCGTGTGATTGTGTGATGTTGAAATAATCAGTGTAACAAAATGGAAGTGGAGACCTGTCTAACAGCCCAGGCTTTGTGAGTGATGAAGCCTGTTCTGAAATAGGTTATCTTTTCAAGTTGAGAAATGTTACCAGAAAAAAAATGCAACCTAGATGGCAAGAACAGAGAATAATTGTCATATACTGTGGCTGCGTTTGACAGAACTTATTTGTGAATGGAAAAAAATGTAGCAAGCCCAGACACGGGAGCAAGTGCCAAAGAATTTAATTTCTGTGGGTATTTCCTTGTTGCGCTATTGTCTGTAAAGTTCGAATTGGTAAAACTGATGGTCTGAAAAAGCAGACCTATCAAATAACACATACATGTTTAATAACATGAAGGCACACTACAGAGAAGAATATCTAGCTTTTTTAGCCTCCTGCAACATATGTGACTGATGATAACAATTTTAATGTACAAATGTATTGCACCTTTTAGCTGTGTGTTTGTTTTTATAAAGGTGAAAGACACCAAGGTACTTGTAGCAACTGAACAACCCAGGATGCTAGACAGACTTCAGGAAGCAAATACTCTCTTAGAAGACATTCAAAAAGGGTTGAATACTTACTTGGAGAAGAAAAGATTATTTTTCCCAAGGTAAATTAATTAAACAGGCCTAAGGTAGAGACAAAAAGCCATAAGGTCTTTCAAATAATTTCTACTGAACTGAAAAGTCTCATTTTATAAACACACGTGGGACAGTCCTATGCAACAGAAAAAGAAAACTTGTTCTTTTTCTCCAGACAACATTCATTTTCCTCAGCTCCAGTTAAATTTGCAATGCCAGGGACAGGCAGAGGTAGGGAGGAAAAATCTGTCTAGCACAGTGTAAACTTATGGTTAGAAATACATTGTCATGTACAGGGCATTTTTCAAGGAACTTGCTACTTTCCCATGGCTGATTTGCAGTTATGTCTCTGCCCTACCCTCTCTAATTATGCAGATCTGTGTGATACATGAGACTTATAGAATCCTGTTTCTCATAATCATATGTTTTTACAAGTTCTTTATTGGATGCAAAGGTATAGCTGGTCTTTCCTGCGTGAGTTTGAGAACCCTTCTTTCTTTCCCTGCATAAAAGGATGGTCATGTTGAAATTCTGAAAAAAGCAAGTGTGATAAGTTTTATAATGTTAAAAATTGCTTAAGAACAGGGATTTGAGATAATAATTTCCTCTCTGTTACACTAGTGTCCTAGGTAACAATAAAACCAATTCAATTTATTTTCTGTACAGCAGATTATTAATGACAGTTTTCATGTTTGGAAAGTGCATGTTCATTAACTGTGTTTTTCTAACAGATTCTTTTTCCTGTCTAATGATGAGCTGCTTGAAATACTGTCTGAAACAAAAGATCCCCTTCGAGTACAACGACATTTAAAGAAGTGTTTTGAAGGAATTGCTAAACTGGATTTCACAGAAGATCTGGAGATCGTAGGCATGATCAGTTCAGAGAAAGAAGTTGTTCCTTTCATAGATAAAATCTGTCCAGCAAATGCAAAAGTAATTTATTTTTTTTTTAGCATTGTGATATTGAATTATTCCTTTGCCTGAAGTGTATGTTTTTTGGGGAACAAGTTTTAAAACATCTAGGATCAGATCCTCAAATGTGTTTAGGACATGAGAGTGCAGAGTGGTACTCTAGAACAACAGGGTTTACTACAAAAAGGAGTAAGACATACAGCTTTTTGGGTAAATTCCTCTAGGTACTTTTGTGCAGCTTTATGCACCTACTACTTTTAAGATGTAGACAGATAATACATATATATATATATACACACACACACGCATGCACACACACATATATATAAAAACCAAGCTCTCTATATCCATGTAAGGTCTCCGGCGAGACTTTATAGTAGCCTTCCAGTACCTGAATGGGCCTGCAAGAAAGCCAGAGAGGGACTTTACACAAGGGCATGTAGTGACAGGACAAGGCTTTCAACTGAGAGTAGATTTAGATAAGATATAAAAAAAATTCATTACTATGAGGGTGGTGAGGCACTGGCACAGGTTGCCCAGAGAAGTTGTGGGTACCCTGGCAGACTGGTTCAAGGCCAGGTTGGATGGGGCTTTGAGCACCCTGCTCTAGTGGAAGGTGTTGCTGACCGTGGCAGGGAGGTTGGAACTAGATGATGGATAAGGTCCCTTCCAACCCAAACCATTCTGTGATTCTATGGTACGCAGCATGGCTGAAACGGACAGGAATGAGGAAAAAGATGAATGACTGGCAGTGAAGAGTCGGGGCATTAGTTCAGAAGGGGGCTGAGTAGAAACAGTAGCATCTAGGCATGTGAAAAAACAGTCTGCTGCCTTGGCGCAAAAGGTCCTACAAAGGTGAGAGTACCGTCTGAATGCTGTTTTATTAAGGTTATTAAACTTAATAAGCTATAAGCTTATTATTCAGTGGCTGTAGAAAGCGGGAGAGGAACAGGGCCAGTGTAGAGAATGGCAGGAAGGCAAAGGGAAGGCATGATTGATATTAAACTACAGGATCTCTGTTACTCTACTGTCACACTACTAAGGCCTCCCATTGGTATATGCAAGGAGTAACTCACACTGTTTTGGCTGTTGCTAAAGCTAGTAGTGATTCACAATAAAAATCGAACTTTAAGGTGTAATGGTACAATGTGAGTATAAGATAATTACAAGATTGTTTAAATTAAAATTAGGTCATCATAATTCCACTAGTATGGTCTTCAAGTTTATGAGTTGTGAATAGTATCTCAGTTTCAGCTTTTTCTGCTATTCTGAAAGTGAAGGTATGGAGCTGAATTGCTGTATGATAACCAAAAAGAGATGAGAGATGAGGCATGTTGTGAGTTACAGATACCCTTTTTCCCTTAATCCTCCAGGAACAAAACATGTCCTGACCATGGAAGCTGTGATCTGCATTTTTTGTTTATGCTTATATGAACCATATCCAGCTGAAACGGACAGGAATGAGGATTCAGCTGGATTGTCTTTAGAGTTAGCTTGATTTTCCTGCCTTCAGACAGTGTTAAACTGCAGTAGCGGCTGTCAGAATTTGGGAAATTTCGACCTTTTTTTCTCCTATACATCACATCTAGATCAGAAGAAAGTGTATTTAAGCCTAACACATTTCAAAGAATTTGCTTTATAAGAGGAATATAATCAGGAAATGTGTATTGATTCCTAATTGTTTTTCTTGTTTGAAGGGCATGGTAGAAAAATGGCTTTTGCAAGTAGAGGAAATGATGCTGGCCAGTGTAAGACAAGTTCTTCAAGATGGCATAAGAGATTATATCAAGGTAATTGTTCCTAAATTATAGTATAAAATAGATTTCACAAGCAACTGTACGTGCACAGGTTGCTCAAATTCTTAACCAGGGAAACATGTTTAAAGCTAAGTAGAATCCAGCTCTCTTTGTTCAGTAGTACCAGTTTGAAGCTTTAACTCTGAATTTCTTGAAGAAAAAGTATCAAAGCTTTCCATGCTGATTCTCATTTATTTACAGCATGAGACAAAAGAAATTTGGGGAAAGTAATTCTTATCAGTTCCATAATCTAAGGTGTTTATATGACTTTCTGTGTCTGGTATGGATATTTTTATTTAAGGTTCCTCGAAAAACGTGGGTACTTCAGTGGCCTGGACAGGTGGTTATTTGCGTTTCATCCATTTACTGGACAGAAGAAGTGTCTGAGGCTATAAGAAAAGGAACTTTACTAGTAAGATTTTCTTCTACCTTGCTGTTAATTAATCAGAGTTTAGTGCTTAGTAATAAAAAGCTCCTTGTAGCAAAGAAGAACCTCAGTCAAAAACATATTACAGTTTACTCCTGCAGTGTGTTTTATTTTCTGTCTATTTCCTTTTTTCTTGTGTCTTAGCAGGGGCTAGTTCTCATTTACCTTGATGTGTGTCAGGATAAGTCCCACTGAAGGGAATTATATTACTTTTTTTAAAAGTGACACCAGTGTATATAAAAGTACCAAACAAAAAATGACAGACTGTTGTTAAACACTATGTATTTTCATTTCTAACTCCTGTCTTTACATGTGAAGGCACAGGGAAAGGAGCACACAGAAATCTTTCCTTACAGAATGGTTCAGTTATCCATCTGATTATTGCTAGATTCTTCTGGTGATAAAGGTGCAGCAACTAGCTGTTATGTCATACAAGAGATTTTTCCCTATGAGTTTTTAGTGCCTCTGTCATCACAGTGGTTTTCAGTATCACTTCATTGAGGCTAATCAAAGCCATGCTCAAGTAATGGAAATAATTTCTGATTAATTCAGTGGGCTTTTGTCTGATCCTAGTTGAGCTAGGTGGATGATGTGTTATTTGGGGATTAATTCTGTCAACAGAGTGTTTGGGCTGCTTTTTAAATGTAGAGATAGTAAGGTTTTAATAAACTTTACACCAAATACTGAATTTTAATGTTAGCTCTTTGTTTCTGTATCCTTACTGAATATCTTAGGTTTAACTTGCCTGTGTTGTCTAATATCAGTTGAAGATATTGTTGTTATTATTTATTGTCTTATTGAAGATCCAATCAGGACTGAAAGTATTTATTGCTTTCAAAGAAAAGACCCTGAACAATCCATGGGTTAAGAAAAATGGGAAAGAATAACAGAGCAGTGAATCACAGAATATAAGGGACCTCTAAACATCATGTAGTCCAACCCCTGTTTAAAGCAAGGCCAACTAAAACAGGTTGCTAATGGACTTACTCCAGTATGCCCATGCCTGTCTTCTGTGGGGGAGCCGAAAACTGACACAGCACTCCATACTTGATGTCAGCAGTGCTGACTAGAGGGGAAGGATCACCTCCTTTGACCTGCTGGTAATGTTCTTCCTAATGCAGCCAAGGATGCTGTTGCTGTTCTTTGCCTCAAGGGCACATTAATGGTTTATGTTCAGTTTGGTGTCCACCAGCATCCAGGTCCTGTTCTGCAGAGCTGCTTTCCAGCTGGCTGGCCATGAGCATGTACTGGCACATGGGGTTATTCCTTCCAAGATACAGGGCTTTCCCCTTTGTTGAATTTCATGAGGTTTCTGTCTGCCTATTCCTCTAGTCCCTTGGAATGGAAGCACACCCATCTGGTCTGTCAATCACTTGTTGTGTCATCTGTAGACTTGCTGAGGGTGCACTCGATCCTGTTGTCAAGGTCATTAATGAAAACCTCATTAATCTTTCATTTCTTTAAACTTCCTCATTTAATAATGAGAAAAATAATTTAAAATGTTTATACTAAAGTTAGGAGAATTGTAGATTTCTACTAATTTTATTAATTTACATTTTACTACTAATTTATAGAAGAAATCTAATCCAGATTTACCCAACAGAGAGCATCTGCTCATGTCCTATCGTAGAATGTTGTAATTTCTATTAGGAAGAAAGATAAGACTTCTGCTTACACTATTTTCAGGCCATAAAGCTTTTTGAAGTGTTCATAGTAAAATAAAATACCAGTATATGAATATTTGTGTAGTGCCAGGTCTTCCATTGTTATGTTCTGTTGGAAGTACTGTCTCCAATGACTGCACCCATGGGAGCTTAGGAACTGCTAGCTACAGCATTGTGTTAATGCCTGCGTTCTGCTTCTGTGACAGGATTTCTTGAAGAAGAGCAATCTACAAATTGGGGACATTGTTGAGTTAGTGAGGGGAAAGCTGTCCAGTGGAGCCCGGCTGACACTTGGAGGTCTTACTGTCATTGATGTGCATGGTAAATGTTCAGTTGTTGGTACTCTTGTTACATCTGGGGCAGTGCAGCTGTTGTTAGTTGGGTGAACTATTTGAAAAAGGCAGCTAAAATGCTTTCTCTAACTTTAAACAACCTTTACAGAGTTATTGCATGGTGTCTTTGGGCAAAAGGGGATTGCTCAGTCCTGCACAACACAAGCCCCGCATCCTGGGTTGCATAAAAAGCAGCATGGGCAGCACGGTGCGGGAGAGGATTCCGCTCCTCTGCTCTGCTCTGGTGAGACCCCACCTGGAGTCCTGCGTCCAGCTTTGGAGCCTCAGCACACCAAAGACATGGAGCAGGTCCAGAGGAGGCCACAGAAATAATCCTAGGGTTGGAACATCTTTCCTATGAGGAAAGGCTGAGAGAGTTGGGGCTATTCAGCCTGGAGAAGAGAAGGTCCCAGGGAGACCTTATCACAGCCTTCCAGTACGTGCAGGGGCCTGCAAGAAAGGTGGAGAGGGACTTTCGACAAGGGTATGTAGTGATAGGTCAAGGGGTAATGGCTTAAAACTGAAAGAGGGTAGAATTAGATTAGATGCAAGGAAGAAATTCTTTACTATGAGGGTGGTGAGGCACTGGCATAGGTTGCCCAGAGAAGTTGTGGCTGCCCCCTCCCTGGCAGTGTTCAAGGCCAGGTTGGACGGCGCTTTGAGGAACCTGGTCTGATGGAAGATGTCCCAGCTCATGGCAGGGGAGTTGGAACCAGATGATCTATATGATTCTATGATAACTATCTCCCATCTACTTAGAACAGGCACTGGAACCTAGATCAAATTAAGCTAATTCCTTGTGCAAAACAGATGCAGATTCCTTTCTACTTGGAATCTGGAATCTGGAAAGTTGGGCAGAGAGGAACCTGATGAGGTTCAAGAAGGGGAAGTGCAGGGTCCTGCACCTGGGGAAGAACAACCCCATGCATCAGTACAGGCTTGGGGCGGACCTGCTGGAGAGCAGCTCTG